TCATTATAAACCATGTGGCCAGACAATTGCACCTACTGCATCTGGATCATTATAAACCATGTGACCAGACAATTGCACTTACTGCATCTGGATCATTATAAACCATGTGGCCAGACAATTGCACGTATTGCATCTGGATCATTATAAACCATGTGACCGGACAATTGCACTTACTGCATCTGAATCATGGTGTCGTGCTTTTTCTTGAGTCGTTCTGTTTCGAGGGCCTTTTCCCGCGCCTCCCGTTGCTGTCCGAGTTTGTCCTCATCAATTGGCTCAGGCTTCTGCACTTCCGTCGGTTGACTTTGCGTCAGCGGTTTTGCTTCGAGGGTATTTTCCTGCGTCTCCCGTTGCTGTCTGAGTTTCTCCCCATCAATTGGCTCAGGCTTCTGCACTTTCGTCGGTTGACTTTGCGTCACCGGTTCTGCTTTTGGCTGTGGTTTTGGCTGCGGCTACCATTATATATTTATTTTGAATTGAAGATGGTCAGACGTGGGATGGGGCTAAAAATAAAAATAAACAATGACCTTATGAAGTGCGTCTTGAGTGAAACACCGAGACATCACCGAACACACCTTAGGCTTTATCACCTCGAGCTCCTCGACCGTCATTCCGGGTAAACTTCGGCGCTTCTTTTCTGCAAAGGAATGAGTACGAAAGTTTGGCTACAGAATGGGGAACGAATTTCCGTTGAGTTCATTTGGGGGCAGGAGAGTGCTATGGTTTGATGAGCCTATGTAGACTGGCAGAAGTATCAATATATGTCGCTGATAGACTGGACAACCACATAGCAGTCAAACTTCGTAGGCTGTGTACTCGTGTGCAACAGATACGCATCGAGTGTACAGGTAATATCACTCCCACCACAGCATATTGAGATAGCACAATACCTACCCATGGTACCTAGTGTTTTAGGGTTTAGGGTTTTATACATGTAGCACAATACCTACCCATGGCTCTCGCAATGCGTCGCTTGACCTTTTCCTGGTCGGTCATCATGTCAAAGAAGGCCTCACTCAGATCAACGCCATATTTGGTCATCTCCTTGACTGTGTGCTGTGCCGTTTCCATATCGAGCGCTGCTTTGATTTTGGGTTCCAGTGCTGTCAGGCGATCGTACAGCGCGCGACGCTCAGCTCCTGTGACGCAAAACAGTGACACAGTGGAACTGAGCAACACAAACACAAACACAAACACAGCTCAGACGAAGGCCACTGACTGCGGCGTGGTGTGAGAGATGTACAGCATTGCGATGATTGGCACTGCCCACAGTGTGCCATCTACTGCGATGCGGGGTATAGTGACAGGCGCGCGAATGCACAACTCAGCACCATGCGACAATGCTACGCAACTACGCGAGCGATGATGGAGAAGTATTACTCAGCACAGACAATTGAAATGACGACCCACCGCAGCAGCTGAACGAGTGGCAGTGCGTGTGAGTGCAAAAACAAAGCCAACGGCCAGTCACCATTCAGCGACAAAGGACAACGGCCAGTCACCACTCAGCGACAAAGGACAACGGCCAGCCACCACTCAGCGACAAAGGACAACGGCCAGTCACCACTCAGCGACAAAGGACAACGGTCAGTCACCACTCAGCGACAAAGGACAACGGCCAGTCACCACTCAGACGACAAAGGAAAACGGCCAGTCACCACTCAGCGACAAAGACAACGGCCAGTCACCACTCAGCGACAAAGGACAACTTGATCTGCAGGTCAGATGCACAAGTGCATTAACAGGCACTGGCCACACACAGCCCATTGGCTTGACTGTCCAATGGCACGACAGACAATATATATTACTCATCAGTGCAAGCGCATATCCTTTGGCCTGCTGAGAGTCAGTCAGTACATTTGAGTACAACGGAACACTCACGCGGTTCGTCTGAGGCTTTCTTCGGCCAACCCGCACAAATAGAATCAACTACAACCAGACTAATGGGATACAGACGCATTGCAGAATACGTAGACCGGCCATTGGCCATGGGAGAGGCTTACCCGTCTGGAACTCGTCTCTGGTGATGACTGTTTGCACGGCATCTGTCACATCGATGTAACCGATGATGTTGGGATGCGACCACAGAGTGGACTTGTACTGGCTGTGCTTAGCGAACGACTGCATTTTGTCTACTTCGTTAATGCGCCGTCCCAATGAGAAGAACCGTGGGCGACACCCTGTGTACTCATGGGTGGTCACCTGCACAGCCGCGGAGGGCAGCGGGTCAGCGTCTGCCTACCAGTTCACACACACAACGGGCTCTAAAACCCAAAACCCTAACCCTAAACAACTGGTTCCAGCGTATTGCAAGTCAGGTTAACGAACAGAAGGAACTACCACAGCGTACGCGATGTCTCAGCTCACAATAGAGTGAGGCTTATAAACTTCAACTCGCACTGACTGTGGGTACCTACGTGCGCATAATTATGGACTAACAAACATTTAAACCATAAAACCGTAAACCATAAACTACCAAACGTTTAAACCATACCTTCAAATTCACAGTCACGGAGTGCCCATGCACTGTGAAATCGTCTCGGAACTCGACCCCTTCGATTTTCTCATAATCAAAAGGTATACACTTGCGTCGCTTCTGTTTATATACGATACGAATGGAATGTCAGATCGATCCAATCGATCGTAGTAACTAGCTCAGCTACGTGCTTAAAACATATCCAGGTAGGAAAGTTGGACTACCAGTTAAAGTTGGACTGCCAGTTAAAGTCGGACTACCAGTTAAAGTTGGACTACCAGTTAAAGTTAGCCTACCAGGTAAAGTTGGACTACCAGCTAAAGTTAGACTACAAGTGAGCATTGTACACATGGGCCACCTCATGTATCCTTAAACTGCAAGGGCCGTGTGACACTAGGAACCCATTTCTAAATCGACTACTTGAATAGGCTAGTCAGTTCAGCAACGGTGCTCGCGCATGGGTGTATAGCCCAGAACAAAAGCAGAAAGTACAATAGTACTTGAAGTACACGTGAATGTTTTCGCAGTTGTGCCTGTCCATGTGACGGCACCCCAACTGGTTTACGATATCGTACGCAAGCGGATACATACCATCACTTTGCCAACGATTTCTTCCACAGTAATCGACAGATCAGGGCGACAAAGCAAGCGCTCGAAGTGATACTGAATTTCCTCCGCGATAACGTTGATGTCCACCTGCAGTGGCACAGGGAGAAAGAAACAGGTCAAAGGCTCACCACCGCATATGCACACCACCACATGCGCAAGGATGCAACCTGGCCCATTTATGATGCACCACTAGCACAGCTGCATATGTGTAAGTGATTAGTGACACTGTGCGACATGGTGGCGTGCACGAAGAACAATACATCGACGGGCATTAACATTAACACATAACCTGATCACGAGCATTAACATCATTACATATCGTGATCACGAGCAGTAGCATTAATACATAACGTGATCACGAGCATTAAGATTAATACATAACGTGATCACGAGCATTAAGATTAATACATAACGTGATCACGAGCATTAACATTATTACATATCGCGATCACGAGCATTAACATTAATACATAACGTGATCACGAGCATTAACATTAATACATAACGTGATCACGAGCAATAACATTAATATATAACGTGATCAAAAGCATCAACGTTAACTTTTTAATGCAGCGAAGCAATGGTTGCACATGTTATCAGTTGCCACTTTTATTCGAGTGATACACAAATTGATCTTGTGCACATTTAAGATAGCACCCTCTGTAGACAGATCCACTATAGGATTTGAATATAAACACACATGACCACCAATTACAAACAAGACAACCACAACATGTACACAACACACACAACACGAGCACACAACACAGCCACAATATGCACACCACACACCCAACACAGCCACAACATGTACAAAACACACACAACACGAGCACACACATAACGTACCCCTCGCAGCCACTCTGGATCGACTCCGGAGATGTAGACATTCGTTCCGCTGGTGTAAATGGGCGTCTCACTGCAACCGACGCGCAGGCAATGTTGAGCAATACATCAAAGTCATATACGAATGCCATGGACTAAGGCACTCAATGGGCAGCCAGGACGTGCAGTTGTAATACATCAAAGTTATATGCGAATGCCATGGGCTAAGGCACTCAATGGGCAGCCATGACGTGCAGTTGTAATACATCAAAGTCATATGCGAATGCCATGGACTAAGGCACTCAATGAGCAGCCACGACGTGCAGTTGTAATACATCAAAGTCATATGCGAATGCCATGGATGGACTAAGGCACTCAATGGGCAGCCATGACGTGCAGTTGTAATACATCAAAGTCACATGTGAATGCCATGGACTAAGGCACTCAATGGGCAGCCATGACATGCAGTTCACCGGATTGAAAAAAGGATTTACCAAAGGAATCGAATCGACACTTATCCGCACTCACTCCACTGTATAATGCATAAAAAAATTGAGCTCATGAGCACATTGTAACAGTTAGAAAGTCTCAAAAGTGCACTTTACATACGGGTGCACGATGATGTGTGGCGGCTCTATGTCGGTGTGACGATCTCGATCCAGAGTAACACTCAACAGGGGACCATCGTGAGTCTGTGGTAGGTGGTGTACGTAGGCTTCATTAAGTTACAGGAGCAAACTGAACACTCGCAGAAATATGGCCATCGATTCTCATGACGAGACGAGGACTGTTTTATCGTCTTTCTCTCTGAATAGAAGTACTTTCTGAGCGTAGGTACTTTTCCAATTTCGGATACGGGTGTGTGAGTTCGACAATATATACCGCAGAAAACCGGTTTTTCATTCATTTATGCAGAAGACGAATTACTTTAATAGATAAATTAGATATGACAACACTAGACGATCCAATCAATTTAATAGAAAACATTGGATATGACAACACTGGACAATCAAATGAATTTAATAAATAACATTAGACATGACAACACTAGACGATCCAATCAATTTAATAGATGACATTAGATATGACAACACTGGGCAATCAAATGAATTTAATAGATAACATTATATATGACAACACTAGACGATCCAATCAATTTAATAGATAACATTAGATATGACAACACTGGACAATCAAATGAGGTTATTTGATAACATTAGATATGACAACACTAGACGATCCACTCAATTTAATAGATAACATAAGATATGACAACACTGGACAATCAAATGAATAAAGTAGATAAAATTAGATATGACAACACTGGACAATTATCCATTGGAATAAACAAGACCCCACTGTGCGAGTTCAATCAATTCGTGTGAAGAGCTTCTTCAAAGTGAAACACACATCTCAGGAGATGGAAACCTCTAACTGCAGTAACATGTATCCATCAACTGGATATGTTCTGAAAACTAAAAACCCTAAAAGTTGTAGGTAAATCTTAAGTTACTGAGGTTCTTGGAAAAATACGGAGAGTAATGCTCTGTCCACATTAAGCGGAGACAGACTTACTACACAAATGATCTTATGGACGAGGTAAGGCGTGAACTTTAAGCTTAATCGTTGTCATGACAACTGTTTTGATGTATATGATCGATCTCCTTGACTTGCACACATCTGTCACCTCAGTCTCATGATAGCATCTCGCGACAAAACCTAAACCCTAAAATTATGACCCGCGCGCTCTGTTTGAGGATAGGAATGAGCAATGCTGTCTATTCAGACGAAGAGATAACTCTCCTCGGTAGCCTCTAAACTCCAATTAGTTACTGAAACAGTTCTCTCTCAACATTGCACGAGGTAAGACGCGAGACCATACGCGTGCGAGTTCCGATACCGAACTGTGCGCAACTTATCGTGAACAGCAGTATTTGTATCCAAATATCGAATATTCGACTTACAAATGACAATACGACCACGAAGCAACGGACAATCGGACTACAGAACAAACGACACTCGGACTACGAAACAAACGATAATCCGACTACGAAACAACCGATAATCCCACTATAAATCAAGCGATAATCCGACTACGAAACAACTGATAATCCGACTACGAAGCAACCGATAATCCCACTACGAATCAAGCGATAATCCGACTACGAAACAACTGATATTCCGACTACGAAACAACCGATACTCTGACTACGAAACAAACGATAATCTGACTACGAAACAAACGATAATCCCGCTACGAATCAACCGCTACGAAACAGTCGATAATCCCACTACGAAAAAAAAAATCCGACTACAAAACAAACGATAATCTGACTACAAAACAAACGAAAATTCCGCTACGAATCAAGCGATAATCCCACTACGAAACAACCGATAATCCCACTACAAATCAAGCGATAATCCGACTACGAAACAATCGATAATCTGACTACGAATCAAGCGATAATCCCACTACGAAACAACCGATAATCCCGCTACAAATCAAGCGATAATCCGACTACGAAACAAACGATTATCCGACTACGAAACAAACGATAATCCCACTACGAATAAAAAATTTCCGACTACAAAACAAACGATAATCTGACTACGAAAACGATTTATTTTGTTCGTAGATGCGAACATTTTCGAAGAAACAATGAGTACCTTTGACTCTAATTTGATGGTTTTCGCCGCAGCCCGAAACGCGTGAATACCGAATCCGAACTGACCTGAGGTGGGTGTTGAGTGTTGAGTGATGAGTGTTGGGTGTTGAGTGGTGAGTGTTGGGTGTAGGGTAGTGGGTGTTGAATAGTGAGTGTTGGGTGTTGGGTGTTGAGTGGTGAGTGTTGGATGTAGGGTAGTGGGTGTTGAATAGTGAGTGTTGGGTGTTGGGTGTAGGTTGTTGGGTGGTGAGTGTTGGGTAGTGAGTGTTGGGTGTTGAGTGGTGAGTGTTGGGTGTAGGGTAGTGGGTGGTGGGTGGTGAGTGTTGGGTGTAGGGTGTTGAATGATGAGTGTTGGGTGGTGAGTGTTGGGTGTTGGGTGTTGGGTGGTGAGTGTTGGGTAGTGAGTGTTGGGTGTCGAGTGGTGAGTGTTGGGTAGTGAGTGTTGGGTGTCGAGTGGTAAGTGTTGGGTGTGGGTGGTGGGTGTTGAGTGGTGAGTGTTGGGTAGTGAGTGTTGGGTGTTGAGTGGTGAGTGTTAACTGGTGTTGAGTGCTGAGTGTCGGGTGTTGGGTGTTGGTGATCGGTATGCTGCAATTATTTGTGCGCGTTAAGAATTATTCATTGTGGGATTTCGTACATCGTTAGCAGGTGGTAGTACACAAACCGCCTGCCCTATTGTTGGTAATATATATGTTCTTGTGATGGAGTAATTTATGGAAAAATGATATAACTTGTTGACCAGTAGGAACACCGGTTAAAGCGCTATTGCACTGCGACACGCCACGTGCTCATGCGGGAATTGGCTTGCCAGACGCTAGACTTCTTTTGCTAGGTTCCCCATATGGGCTCGATTGAGTTTAGCAACACAAGCTAAGCTGCACTGCTATGCCACTGAGATATCAAAGATGTCATAATTTATAACCTTTAAAAGTCAAACAGGACCAGCCACAACACACACCGTTGAGCCATGGAACGCCTTTCTTTTTACTTTCGCCCGCCGTTAGAATGGCTTCGGTGAGCTGCTGCTGTGGCATGCCACTGCTGTTGTCGGTGATTTTGATTGTGCGTCTCTTACTGTCGAGTGTGATGCGGATGTCCACCGGTTTATCGTACTCATTGCCATTCTGCATAGAGACATGAGATATGGGAGTGATGTGTAAAGCCTTAAGCTTTGGGATGAATAATAACTGCAACGACTGGCAGGACATTGTAATTGCACGAAGTATGTAGCTACAACTCAGTATGTCACGCTCACGATGAACGGCTGACAACAGATATCGAAACAAGAAATTACGCGAGCAGTTGGCATAATATAGATTATATGTGAAGCGAGGCGCTTAAACCCTCCCAATTTGTCTTCACAGTTTAACTCAATGACAACTCCGTCTCACCTGTCTGAAGTCGGCTTCGCGGTCGTCAATGGCGTTGTCGATGTACTATACATTGTATGGTAATTAAGAGTCAAATCAATAAGTACACAGTGTGACAAAATAGCAGTGTACATTGCAAGGAAATTGAGTCATAACAGTAAAGTGTATAGTGTGGTGTAATAGCTGTGTACAATCAGTGAAATACGGATTTTTAATCTATTTGCACTTTTCGTACCGCATTTTTAAGTAGCGATTCTCAACGGAAGAATTCGTCATTCACGTTCACGGCTAAATCCAAACAAAGTTGGTGGATCGATACGAAGTTTGAAATTAGACCCGCTTTGTAGAATAGTGAATCTTTTGTTCACCTGTGCATTGTTGAAGGTGTACACTTGGCAACACGCATATTGGGTATAGAATAAAAACTACAGCATACAATTACAAGAAACATGCACATAAGCAAGAGAACTAGAGCTTTACACAATTACTTTTCGAAGCACACGGCAATACCATACCTCCATCAAGATACGCGAGATTGATTCATAGCGCTGAGCAATATTGTTTAAGATGACTGCGGGATTAGCCACTGTGAGAACGAGCCCTGACGGTTTGCCATCACTGTGTAAGTGAGGCTCACTAGACAGGAATCTTGTCCGTACACGGGTGCATGCGACAGCTGCAATGGGAACAAACCGAGAGGCACGCGTGAGACTTAGTGCGCTGGCGCGTGTGGCTTGGCGCACCGACTGAGCGAATTTAATCGCTTGCATGACTACGTACGAAGTGCTTCGAAGGCTTCGGTTGTGCTAACGCGGCATAAATGGGTATGCGTGCCGATTTTAGTTAGTGGCTTCTTGAAGCAGAGTATGACCACTCTATACAAAGTCCCACAAAAGATTCAAGAGGCACCAGCTTGAATTTAAGAGGAACTATGAGCTAAATTGAAATAAATAATATATCCCTACATATGAGAAATTCAACAACAAAAAATCTTTATCAATTATTGGTTAAAAGGTCCGTATGGCAATGTTATTGGGCCTCTAAATTTTGAGAGTGGTTCGGTATCATTCAGTATCATTAACCGGTGAATTTATATTGTTTTTGTCAGTTTGTGATTTATTGCTTGAGCCTTGAGGAGTGGAGTTGAGGGCGAGTGTCCACAATCCAGAGAGGCTTTGAAGGCTGACAACTCACAGTTGATTAAAGGAGCGTGGCCCTGGAGAATTTGGGCGAGGCTCACACATGATTGACGCGGTCGTATGCTTGTGAATAAGGTTAAGGAATACTCGATGGTGTCGGGAACTCCAATTTTGGTTGCTGT